CACTTAGAAGTTATGTGACCTGTACAAATTATGTAAGCTCTGTTTCCTCATCTGTAAAATGAGGATGATACATACATGACAGTGTCATTATGGTGCTTAAATGGGATAATGCAGATGCAGTGCTTAGCAACAAGCACGCACATTGTCAGCAATTAGCAAATGAAGCTACTGTTATTATCCACAATCCCACTACCAAGATTGCAATCACTGATAAGATTTTGATATATTCCTCTGGTTTTTACGTCTACTTTCACAAACAGGGATCACATCAAACATATAGTTAAGTCCAGCATGAGCAACATAGTGAGACCCCATCTCTACAAAAAATTTTTTAAAAATTTGCCAGATGTGGTGGCACACACCTATAGTCTCAGCTACTCAGGAGGCTAGGGCAGGAGGATTGCTTGAGCACAGCAGTTCAAAGCTGCAGTGAGCTATGATTGTGCCACTGCACTCCAGCCTGGACAACAGTGCAAGACCCTGTCTCAAAAAATATACACATATGGTTAAGTATTCTGAATTTTTTCACTTATCATTAAAACAAAAATATACATATGGAACTTCTTAACACGCTTATATTCTATCCTTCCAGATTTGAACCTTTGGCCTTTGACCCCTGCCCATGTTGGGTCCTCATGGCCCCACTCCCTGTAGAGCACACCCATTGGCATCTGGTTTCTTACCCACCACCTCCCAGCTTGATTCTAGCCTCCTCTCCCCTCAGGGATGTACACCTGCACGGCCCAGGGCATTTGGAAGAATGAGCAGGAGGGAGAGAAGATACCTCGGTGTTTGCCAGGTGAGTGGGAACCCTCTGGGCCATCCCCAGGGTCTTTCGCAGCACTGCAGGGCCTCAGACGAAGCGCGGCACAGAGAAAGGAGACAGAGCAAGGACAGGGGAGGGGAGAGAGGGACAGAGGAACAGAGAACTGGACGCAGTCCTGACATTCCAGCATTTTCACGGAACAGATGGGAAATCAGGGAAGACAAACAGTAAGAGAAAACCCCGGGGAAGAAATAAACAAGAGCAAGGAGAAGCAGCTGACAGTAGCCAGGGAAGGGGTGTGGGAATTCGAGGAGAAAGAGAAAGGGCCAAGAGCCAGGAGGGGCCTGACTGCCCACAGAGGGAAGAGGGGCAGGAGCTGGAGCTGACTCCTCCCTGTCTTCCCGTCCCTCCTCCTCAGTGTGTGGGAAGCCTGTCCACCCCGTGGAACAGAAGCAGCGCATCATCGGAGGGCAAAAGGCGCAGCTGGGCAACTTCCCCTGGCAGGCATTCACCAACATCTACGGGCGCGGGGGTGGAGCCCTGCTGGGCGACCGCTGGATCCTCACGGCAGCCCACACCCTCTACCCCAAGGACCACGACATGCAAAACAACGCCACTGTGGACGTGTTCCTGGGCCACACAAGCGTGGAAGAGATCACAAAGATGGCAAATCACCCCGTCCGCAGGGTCAGCATCCACCCGGACTACCGTCAGGACGAGTCCCACAACTTTGAGGGGGACATCGCCCTGCTGGAGCTGGAAAATAGCGTCACCCTGGGCCCTAACCTCCTTCCCATCTGCCTCCCTGACAACGAGACCTTCTATGACAGGGGCCTCATGGGCTATGTCAGTGGCTTTGGGATAATGGAGGAGAAGCTCTCTTATGACCTCAGGTTTGTCCGTCTGCCCGTAGCTAAGCGAGAGGCATGTGAGAGCTGGCTCCGGAAAAATAAGAGGAATGATGTGTTTTCTCAGAACATGTTCTGTGCCGGGGACCCAAGTCTGAAGCAGGACGCCTGTCAGGGGGATAGTGGGAGTGTTTTTGCAGTGAGGGACCAGGACGATCGCTGGGTGGCCACGGGCATCGTGTCCTGGGGCATCGGGTGCAGCAGGGGGTATGGCTTCTACACCAAACTGCTCAACTATGTGGACTGGATCAAGAAAGAGATGGAGCAGGAGGGCTGAGCCCAGAATTCACTAGGTCAGAAGGCAGAGAGCAGTGTGTTCAAAAACATCATCTGACCCGTTGTCAATAACCACTAAGAGTCTTTCTTAAAATCGCTGATGCAGAAAGACACTGTGTGAAATCAACTCTCTTTCCCATAGTCCCATCCACATTCTTTACCTGAAACAACCCAGAGAGCACCTTTCTTTCCTCCAAGGATGCAGAGGGTATAGTTCTCAGTCTCCAGTTATCCTTTTCCTTTTCCATATTTTTACCATTGGGTAATTGAATAAAACCCTTTCCAAATAAAATTGTTTTGAGAAATTCTGTGAGTAAAATGAGTCAAAAGTTGTATTTAATTAGTAGAAAATATTTAGTAAAGTCATATGTAAAATATTTACTTAAGAAGGCAATGGGAACAATGAAGTTTTTGCACACATTTACAATTAGGGTTGTGAATAACAATACATATGTGTTTTGTGTTGATTGTGTAATATAAAGGAAAGCCTAATTTTCCCACATGCATAGTTGTAAATATAGCAGCTTTCTTAACAGCTCACCTTAGATCTCTAAATAAGACAAGAGGAGTGGCATGAAATTTTTATTTTCAAGTTGAATCACTTTTAATATTTTTAAATCTCTTATATTCTTTCAGGTATATTTAAAGATCAGAGAAGGACCCAAAGCTTAGAATAAGCATTGCAAATATTTGCACTAGAGCAGTATCATGATATTATTGCACAACTGACTGTTCTGAACTTGTTTGAACAACTTCGCATGACCCAACACACATAGGCCTGACTTGAACAAAACCAGTGCAGATTTAAAACAGTCCCAAGTAATGATGAATTTGTAAGTCCAAATGCAGGTCCCTCGTCTGATACCCTCAGGGCCAAATGCTTTCCAATATTCAAGATTTTATAGAAATGTAATACACCGTCTGTTATATAATGTCCCCAGCAGGGTCCAAGGCAGTACCGGGTAATAAAACAGATGAATAATTGTTTGGAAAAACATTTAAATATTCACAATGAGATGAAGATGCTCAATAGTTATCCATCAGTTCAGGTCAAATTTTACCACCAAATAAGTTTTGGTGCTAAATTTATAAAAACACTTGCAATTTTTAGAGCATCTTGGATTTCAGGATTGTGGATCTGTATGGGTAGAAATGACAGAAGAAAACTTTTTCTCATAGTGTATACAAAAGCATACACAAATGATGTGTAATGCACTTGAGTATACGTTTATTGCAAATTTTTAATGATTAGAAATTTAGAAACGTTTTCAAAAGTGAGGCACCTCCGGGATTCCACTGGAGATGGGAGCGGAGAGGAGGAGATGGATGTGGTAAACACAAAACAAGCAAACAAAAGAGCATTGAACAAGTTTATTTCCAAAGTTCCCAGGTAAATGTAAGATTCTGAGTCCCTTATCCTGATTTCAGTCAGAGGGGTCCCCAGGAGAGTCAGACGACTCCTCTGACCTGCTTCCCCCAAAGTCCCTCTCCCCCAAAGTCATACATGTGTCTTATTCCTCAAGTTCATTGGAGCAGAACAACACAGACAAAACCAATACTCTATGAATAGACAGTTCACAGAAAAGAAAACATAAATTGCTTTGGGGTTTAGAACCTTAACTTTAACCATAATAAGGAAAATATTTAAATAAAATGTCATCATTTTACCTATAATACTGTCAAAGATAACATACCATATTGGTGAAGATATAGAGAGACAGTCACTCTCACACTTTGCTTTTTGGAACGTCTATGGGTACAGACTCTATGGGAGAGCAATTTGGTAACAGGTAATCAAAATTACAAATGCACATGCTTTTTCACCCAGCAATTCCACTTCCAGGAATTTATCCCACATTTTCTCACATATGAGGTAAACGACATAAGTACAAGGTAAGTCATTGCAGCCTTGTTTATGATAGCAAAGTTTTAGAATCCTGGACTTGGAAAAGTATCTGGTCTCAAAGTTTCAGGTAAATTATGGAATATCTGAATAATAGAATGCAATGTAGCCACTCAATCTCCAAGACGGAGTGGTAAGTGAGAAAAATAAGAAGCAGAACAGTGTGTATAAGATGCTACTATTTGTATAAAAAAGAAGAGTGGGTGTACATCGCTTGCGTGTGTATAAAAGATCACTGGAAGGATATACGGGAAACATTCGTCGTCTCTGGGGGGAGACAGGGGTGGGAGGAAAAGTTATCTTTTGATCTTTCAAATTTTTAACCATGTAGGTGTTTTATCTATTCCAAAAATAATGAGATGGAGCTCTACTAAAATATTTTTTTCAGTAAAAAAAACGTAAAGGAGTAGCTTCATTAAAAAGGCTGATACAACAAAGATTAGAGCAAGTTAGACATAAGAGACCTGGGGGAAAGGCATGCGGGGAGCAGGCAAGGGCCCCGAGCGAGAACGTCCTGCTCCACTGCGGAATCGCTAAGGCAGCCAAGGCAGTGTTTCCAGCAGAGTGCGGGGAGCTCACGTTTTGAAAGGCTCACTCTGGCTGCTGAATCGAGGATAGATTCCAGGTGGAAAAGGGCACAAAAGGGACCAGGTAGGTGGCAATTACAGTAATCCAGGACAAAAGTGATGGCAGCTCAGATCAGGGGATACAGTGGAGGTGTATAAAATTGGAGGGAAGAGCCAGAGGATTTCCTGATGGAACAGATACTGGAGGGGACAGGGTGAGAAAAAGAGAGACGTCAGCTTGATGGAGCAGGTCACAAGAGGAACAGGTCCAACAAAAACCACGAGTCCCATCCGGGGCATGTTGATTTTCAGATGCCTATTAGATTAGAGCCAAGATGGAGATTTACCCCCACCTGAAACAAACAACAACAAAAAGCAGGCCAGTGGCTCATGCCTATAACCCTAGCACTCTGGGAGGATGAGACGGGAGAATCACTTGAGGCCAGGAGTTCAAGACCAGCCTGAGCAAAAGTGTGACTCCGTCTCTACCAAAAACAGAAAAAATTAGCCAACCATGGTGGCACACACTTGTAGTCCCAACTACTCCGGAGACTGAGGCAGGATGATCGCTTGAGCCCAGGAGTTTGAGGTGGCAGCTGAGCTATGATGAAGCAATTGCACTCTACCCAGGGTGGCAGAGGGAGACTCTGTCTCAGGAAAAAAAAAAAAAAAATAGCAGACCAACTACGTGAAACAATAGTTTTCAAGGCACTGGACATTAGGAAACAAAAGACAATGGTCCCTGAGAGTCTGAGCCCTACAATTACCCCAGTTTACTGCCTTGAGAGAGTTTCCAAGCTGAGTCGCCAGAAGGAGAAACCCAGCGGGGTTCGGTCAACTCCCTGACTTGAGGACACACAGCCAGAAAGTCCAGGGAGATCAGGGCCACTCGAGTTCACAAAACCGAGTATCTGAGAGGAGAAAGTTGCACAGAAAGAGAGCTCCAGAGATCTGCAGAAGCCCCCAAGTACTCAGCAGAGTCCTGATCAGCACTCCGCTCTCATATGTGAGAAAAGTACCTGAGGATGGGGAAAACCACATGAGCTCATAAGAGGGAACAGTACCCGGCAATTACGGGGGCTGGAAACACCCGCCACCCCTGCCGGCCAGACTGGAAAGCCCGATGATTCACGGGGCACTGGGTAGATAATGCAGAAGGGTCTTGCCGCCCTTGGAGTGTCCAAGCTGACTGCAACAGTGACCGCTGAGGTAGGAGGAAAACCTGGAGAGTTCAGCATTTCAGAAGCAAAGGAAAGAAAATGCACCAAGATGGAGATGAACACTGAGGATCGGCTCTTGGATAGAGCCATGTCAAAGTCATGGTTGGCCCAGAAAAGCGCAGTTTGGTGGAACGACAGGGGCAAAAGCCAGACTGGAGCTGGAGAGAGAGTGGGAGAAGAGGAACTGAAGACAAGAGAGCATAATCAATTGTTTTAAGGAATTGGCTGCAAAAAGGAACAAAGAAACAGAGCAAGCAGAGGAACTGTGGTCAAGAAAAGTTTGTTTTAAGTTTAGAGGAATATCAACCACATGTTTCTGTGCTGATGGGAATTACACAATAGAGAGGGACATGGTGATGCTGGGTGGGGGAGGGAGAGAGATGGAATCTAGCTGGAAACTGGATCCATTATCCAGGGTAACACGCGGGAGAGCCGGGGAGAAGGGAACAGATGCTGGTATTTCACAGATGTGGCAGAGCTAGGAGCTCTCTTCTAGTCTTCAGTTTTCTTGGTGAAGTAGAAAATAAGGTAATAAAGTCATCAGGGGGCTTGAGGAGAGAGAGGAATGAAACAGTCATCTAGAAGAGTGGGATTGAAAATGGGTTAGGGAATTTTAAGATTAAAAGTGAGACAGTTGTTCTTTTGTGAGAGAATCTCGCTTTTTTTGAACCAGTTGTGTGAGCTTGATTTTGTGTTTTCCCCCAGCACCCTGCAGCTGCACCAGGATAGGCTTAGAGAAGGCAGGGTTTGATTTTTTCAGGTGAGTATATTGAAACCATAGAAGGGACACCTGTAACCCCGGCACTTTGGGAAGCCAAGGTGGGAAGATTGGTTGGGGCCAGGAACTGGAGACCAGCTCAAGCCAGAGCGAGACCCTGTCTCCACAAAAATAAAAAAATTAGCCAGGTGTGGTGGTGCATGCCTGTAGTCCCCACTACTTGGGAGGCTGAGGCAGGAGGATCACTAGAGACCAGGAGTCTGAGGTTGCAGTGAGCTATGATGACGCCACTGCACTCTAGCACAGGTGACAAAGTGAAACCCTGTCTCAAAAAAAAGAAACCATAGAAGGGCAACAGAGTCCAGGGTGCAAGCAAGACAGTTGTCATATGGAACTTTTTTTTTTTTTAGACAGAGTGTTGCTCTGTTGCCTGGGCTAGAGTGCCGTGACATCAGCCTAGCTCACAGCAACCTCAAACTCCTGGGTTCAAGCGATCCTCCTACCTCAGCCTCCCAAGTAGCTGGGACTACAGGCGCTCACCACCACGCCAGGCTAATTTTTTCTATTTTTAATTGCTCGGCTAATTTCTTTCTATTTTTAGAATAGAAAGGTGTGCACCACCATGCCTGGCCAAAAGATACTTTTGAAAGATCCAGCTTCAAGTGTCACCTCGCCTGGCCTGTCATACGGAACTTAAGCTCGGTAAAGAGGAGATCAAGTACTAAGAGTGTTGATGGGCAGTAAATGTGCAATAGCATAAACGTATCGGGGTCCATGGGGTTGTGGGATATAGGAAGAGTAGCCCTATAACTCTGTGACAGGCTTAATCCAGTGCCAGGCACACTGTTCGCCATACTGGGGAGATACCCTTCTGGTACCGGATGGCCTTGACATCCACAGTCAGAGGGTAGCGTCCTTTTCTGTGACTGTAATCTGAGAATCGCCCACTTTTTACCATTTTTCCCCTCCCAACACACCTTTCAGTCAGTCTGACATAATGCAACAAAAAGTGCTACTGTCATTAAAGGTACAGGGACAGAAAAGTGGTATGATTTTCAAGGTCCCAGGACAATTTTAAGCTGCCCCATCCACCCACCTAAATAATCCCTCCGTTTCTAGCTGATTGAAACACTGTTTAAAAAGGAGCAAATGCCCTTCACACCTTCCTAGGTCAGCCTACGCGGTGACTTGTACCCATTCCCAGTGAAGGACGAACGATGACAGCAAAGACAGCACAGGATGTCGAATGGGGATCAAGCCACCAAGAACCAGGAACAGAGGTTTCAAAGGGCTTAGGGCCACCTAAGACAAGCTCGGTCAACTATGTAAATTAATGGAAATTTTTTTTCTACATAAACTGTGTCACAAGTAAGGACCCCCAGAACAGATAGTATTCACCTCTGTCTAGCCTAGGTGATCAGTGTTTTCCAAAATCCCTCTCAGAGCATCGCTGTGAAGCCTCTTGGGGTCAGCACTGCCCCACTCTCACGGCCTCTGCTTGGCTCCATGAGAAGACCAAACCCTCCCTGTGGGTCTATTCCAGTCCACTCGGGCCCGAGAGCAAGAGCCTCCAGTGGCCCAGGATTCGGTCTCTCTTTTGTCCTGAGTCCTCCCTCCACTCTGTGCTCAGACACTTTTTTGCTTTCACCTCAGTTTCTGTGAATTTTTATTCTGACCATACTCTTTTTTTTTTCTATTAGGTTCTTCTTGCTTTCTAAGAGAGATCAAGAAATATTTTCATTTTGTCCATAAATAGGCAGATACCCAGAAAAACCTGAGCATATTATACCAAAAATATTTCATACTCAGTCCCAAGCTATGAAGACGGAAGAAATAATGTTTCCACCTTAAACGTAAAGGGAGATAGATACAGATGGCAAAGAGCCCATTTGGAGGTCAGGCAGCTACAATGTTAAAATTAGAACGAGCTCCTTCCTGGCAGTTGCTGGTCTTCTATGTCCTTTGTATTCCCTTGCAGAAGAAGAGAGATTTTTTAAAACAGAAGCTGTACCCCCAGGAAACTAAGCCCATCAAAAGACTCTCCCTTTAGGTTTTGCCACGCTCTTTGGGGTTCCCCCATTGTGGTTCCTGTTGCCACAACTTCATCTGGCCCCCCATTTGTCCAGCTGCCCCTTTTCCTGGTTCAAGGGTGGATATACCCCAAATCCGTTTCCCTTGATCCTCTTTGCACAACTGAGAGAAGCTGGATCTTTCAAAAGTATCTTTTGGCCAGGCATGGTAGTGCACACCCACAGTCCCAGCCACTCGGGAGTCTGAGGCAGGAGGATCGCTTGAGCCCAGGAGTTGGAGGCTGCAGTGAGCTGTGATCAAACCACTGCACTCCAGCCTGGGCAACAGAGAGAGACCCTGTCTCTAAAAAATAATAATAAATTTTTTAATTAAAAAAATTTTTAAAGTATCTTTTTATAACTGTAAGAGAAAATAAAAAAGGGTGTGACTATAAAGAGGTAGCATGAGGGAGATCTTTGTGGTGATAGAATAGTTTTGTGTCTCAATTGCAGTGGTGGTTACATTAATCTTCAGTGTGATAAAACAACACAAAACTACTTATATTGTACCAATATCAGGTTCCTGGTTTTGATATTGTACTGTGGTTACGTAAGATGTGACCATTAAGGGAAACTGGCGAAGGAATCACAGCACCTCTCTGCACTATCTTTGCAACTTCCTGTGACTCTCTATTCCAAAAGAAAAAGGGTTTTTGTTAAATCATCATAAAAAAATAATGGCAGAATTTGTGGATTTGATCAAGATTAAATAAAGTTTTCTCATATTTTTAATTTTAAAAAAATAACAAATATTCAGGGGGAAAAAGTCACATTTCCACAGAGTATGTTTCCGATTCTAGGAATCACAGTAAAAGCAACTTTAGAGAGTCCCAGAATTCCTTCCAGCCCCCTCTGGGCTGGTCCAGTTTCAACCAGATTCCTTCCCATCAAGTCCTCTTGACTGCTGGACGCTCTTTCCTCCCTGGCATGAGCTGTTGATCCACCAGTCCATTTTAGTCTGACCAGAGGAAAGTGCCAATTCAACCGCTGTAAAGAGGTGTCTTTTCCTGAGTTTCAGAGGAAGCAGACACAAGCAATTTGCAAAGCGCTACAACTGATACCTTGTAAGCCACAATGAATGATTTTCCAGCCCCTCTCAGCCCTGGCGATGAGCTCTTCCCAGCTCTTAAGTCTCTGCTGATGACTCATTTGGATCCCTCCTTGCCAATCACCCAGGAAGTGATCGCGCAGGACAGTTAATGATGCCAGACCCACCCCCGTCATACTGTACAAGGCAGCAGCAAAGAGGGATTTCTTTCACCGCGGTCTCAGCCCACGGCAAGGGCAGAACCCACACAGACTGAAGATTCTCTCTGAGAGGGATGAACGTCCTTTTTCTCTTGTTATATTCCAGGTTAATTTTTTACTATTACCCCAAATATCAAAAGGAAGGAAAATGTCTCTATCACGGATCATGTTTCTAAATCTTAGTGTTTCTCCAATGTCTTTTTATCCCTAAAGGAGTATTCCTTCTCCCACCCAAAACACTGCTGTCCAGGGCACATTGTCAA